TCAAATAGAAAATTAAGTTCGTCTAATAATTGAATGAAACCTTGTTTGCTAATGTTCGATAGTGTTTGCGAAAACTTATTTAATATAATTTATTTTATTTTTTGTAATTTTATATTATATTTGTAATAAAAAATTTAAAACATACAAGTATTTTTATTTGATTTTTTTTTTCGAGTACGAATAATTTTTAGTTATTCAATCATATTTAAAAAGTTTGTCTTTTAAATTAGAGTTAATTGCAAAAAAAAAACCCAACCTTTTACTCAATTGCAAAAAAAAATCCACTTTTCCAAATTTGTAGATAAAATCATAACCTTTATTATTTTTTGCAATTGTGTCTCGACTCTCGAGCTCATTTACCGGCCAGGTTTGCTGACATGGACAATCGGAATTATGTGTTGGCTGTTGGATTATTCTTATGTGGCACTCAACATTTTAATTTGAGTCCACATCAGCTACACATAGGATACCAATTATTTTTAAGGAAAAAAAATCGAATTAGGGTCTCGATTTCACATCTGAAATTATTTCACTTCATCTTCAACCCTGAGAGCTCGAATCGCGTTGAAGAAGAACAAAAACACAGTTCCCATATTTTTGAAGAACATCAAATCGCCCAAGCAAAATCGCGATCTTCAGTTTCATTCGCCGAATTCCAAACTTTACATTTTCGATTCGCCTCGCTCGTAACATCTCACAGGTAAGGTTCTCCGATTTTTCGGCTCAAAGCTCGGATTTGTTTTTTCATTTCTGCGATTTTTGGCTGAAGCTCGGATTTTTTCCAATAATGTTCTGCGATTTTCCGCTCAAGCTTGTAACATCAAAAACCCTAAAATTTTGATTCAAATCCCAAACCCTAAACAGACGAGGGTTTTCTCACCATTTGTGCGGATTAATGTTCTTGTTCTTGTTCGATGGGTTTGGGATTAATGTTCTTGTTCTTTAGCAAAGTGAAACAACAGATTTTTATTATCTTGAAGAAACGCTCGGTCGACCGATTTTTTTTTTTTTTTTTTCTCATAAGTAATTTCTGATATGAAAAATCAAGTGTATCTATGTGTTGCTGACGTGGACTCGAGTTAATATGTTGAGTGCCACATCAGATTAATCCGGCGCCAACACATTCTTCCGGCGGGTCCATGTCAGCTCATGTTACTGGATACAAAAATAAAGGTTATGATTTTATCTACATTTTTAAAAAGCTTGAGTTTTTTTTTGCAATTGAGTAAAAGCTTAGGGTTTTATGGCAATTAATCTTAAATTATTTAAACTCGAATTTTGATGAACAATTAAATGAATGAGCTTGAATACCGGGCATACAGTGTCGGCCTTTCTTGCATACACATTAAACTAGAGTTGATGTGATTGTATGCCCTGTAAAATCCATAATTGGTAGTGTATGTAACTCCGTGCAGGTGCACGGTCCACATATCTGTGGGCATACAATTGTCTGCACGAACGTACACTAGTCAAATCCGTACTGGGTTGTGCACTTCACTCCATGCAGACGCACGGTCCACACATATCTGTGGGCATACACTCGTCGGACGTACACTACCCAGTATGGACCTGACCGAACATACAATCATCTCCGATTCAATGTGTTTGAGAGAAGGGCCAACATTCCTGGTCACGAAGTATGGATCTGACTGAGTATACAATCACCACCGGTTCAATGTGTTTGAGAGAAGGGCCAACATTCTTGGCCTGAATGACCTCTGATTGTAAAGAGTGCCGCTTTTGACTTCAGTAATTTACTTATGACGCTTTACAAACTTCACTTGTTCTTGTAAGGAGTGCTGCTTTTGGCTTCCATAATTCACTTAGTACACTTTACAAACTACACCTGTTCTCTTGACAAGAGTGTATTTTGAGATTCTAAACTCATGGTCCTGAATGGTGTGTGAATGCTGTGTGATGGAGGATTAACTCCATTGCTGAAAAGGGCATCTCGGAAACTTGGGTGTATAGAATTGAAGAGACTACATCTGATGGCTGATTTTATTCAGTTTTTCAAATAATTTCATTCAGACTGCAGGATGGACTTACAGTGTCTAAGATTTCTTGTACGCAGGCCTACGATTTCAGACAGGGATTCTCGGAGGAGATAGTTCAGTAGAAATATTATTTTGATGTGGTTCCAATGGATTTTATGACCATTGTTTCTTCCTACTTAATAACTTTGAAAGTGTACTATTTTGGGACGCCCAGACGGAATAAAGTGAACCAAGAGTTCACTAGTATACAACAAAAGTATATGTGTAAGTGTTTTTTATGTTACTAATATGTATGATCAAATGAGAAGAGTGTCTAATAGCCAACGCTGACTGAAGGAAATCATAGTTGAGGCGACGATTTTTCGTCACGAGTTCACAACCATGCACGTCGTCCTTAAATAGCGCATGTGTAACCTTTTGCTCTCCGCCTAGCCCAAATAGCTCTGGGCAGTTTATCGTTTGATGATTGTGAGGGCTCGAAATCAGAAGGCCACGATCGATATAGTGGGTACAGAAGAACCGAGATGGAGAACGCACGAGGAGTCCTGGCAGAAAATACTCAAAAATTGAAACCATTATAGATTCTTTATGACGATGATGATGATGTTAAACCCAAGGTGTAATAATAAAGTAGGTTGAATAAATGTAGTAATTTTCAGAGGCGGCCATAGTTTTATTGATTATAAAATAATTATTTAATTTTGGGATCTATGATTAATGTAATTCTTGTAAAAAATGGTTTTATCGTTTTTCATAAATAATATTTGTTTGATCGTTTCTTATAAATAATTCTGTTTTTTTTTTTTTTTTAATCTTTTGTGAAACACACTCTAGTTTGTCAACATGCCAATTTTCTTAATCATTGTCCATATTAGATGATACTACTGTATTTTTTTTAACTAGTGTTCTTATATGTATGTACTAATTAATACCTCACTAAATCAATGAGCTTGAATATCATAACCATTATCTAAATAGTGTTTTAAACAAACATGTATATATCTATTAGAAATGTCATAGTATAAAAAATAAAATAAATAAAAATATACTATTTGATAGTATAAATATCTTTATTTTAAATGATATGGTGTATCGACGTGCTGTTTCACGAGACTTTGCAATTTAATAAACCCAAAAATCATTTCCCTTTCATTGCTGATTGTGAACCTTAACAATATTATGTGAGATTCTACGGTCATGTTACGGAATCATTCTGTCGGGTTTATAACCGTTAGAGCACCAAAAATACATTGAGTCTCTAAATAAAATATCCTATGCCACATAGGAAATAGACTTAGTCTATTAAAAAATGTCTTCCAATGCAATTCAAGGTTGACATGGTCTAGCTTATGTAACAATTAAAAAAAGAGATCAAGTCCACACTTGGGTCTATTTTGGACCCAAGTACAAGCTTAAGTACTCATCATTTATTCCTCATTTAAATTGTTCTTTTAATAAATGAAACATATTAGAACATTTTTATTGGTTGGCATGTATGCTAGACCTAGTATTTTATTTTTGTATTGAATAACTTTTGAGTTTTTTTACTTGGGTTTTTCCATGTCATTTAGAGCATCCACAATGCTTTGGGTCTCTTTTTGCATATGTGGCAAATAAATAGACTTAAGTCCATAATGACATGGACAAACCCAAGTTAAAAAAAAATCTAAAATCTATCCAATGCAAAAAAAAAACACTAGGTTTAGAATACTAAATGAAGTGAAATAGATTTCACCCGACTCCTTCAACTCGAACGGCCTCCGCACCTGCAGAACCTAACGCCGGGAGGGATCTCGGTGTCGCTAATTTTATTTATTTTAATATGAACACTGACTTGTCACTCTGATAAGTCAATGCTCATATCAGAGAGAGAAAGTGTAGTCATTGAATGAATAGAGAATGAGAGAATGGGGTACCTTAATCCCCCTTTTATAGGGGGAGTTTACCTTTGTGGGCTCAAGTTGGGCTTGACCCATATCGTGATACTTAGTCCATACGTGGGCTTATCTTCCAATATATATTCGCTTTCTCCATTAAATCGGGTGTAATATAATATCATATATCACTAAACAACCAATAAAAATATAGTAATAACAAATGCATACAAAAAAAAATGTGTTTTGCCTATTAAAAAAAAAAAAGAAAATTGCGAACAATTAATGACTATGTGAGTTTGCACTTGGGATCAAAATAGACCCAAGTGTGGACTTGGTCTCCTTTTTCTAGTGTCACATAAGTTAGACTAAGTCCACTTATAATTGCATTGTGAAATATTTTTTATAGACTAGGTTTATTTCCTACATGGCACGTGATTTTTTTCTAAGAGACCCAAAGCATTGTGGGTGTTCTTAGGACTTAAGTCTATTATATGCCACATATGTAAAATTAGACCCAATGCATTGTGGGTGTTCTTAGATCAACTACCCACGATAGTTATATGATGATCTAATGGTTACAAATTCGACGAAATGGTTCCGGGACTGTAGCATTTCCCCAATATTATACATGCAGGTTCTACTCTATGTCTTATATTTATTTGACTGAACACAGAATAATTGACTAGATAAGCTAATTTAATAAACATCGTTTGAAAAAAAAAAAAAAAAAGCTAATTTAATAAACACAACCATGTAAAATTGTAATTTAATATCCAAAAAATGACAATTTCCTCATAATTATGGCCACGAATTTAAACATTAAAATCAAATCGGAGCGTCTGTAGGAGCCATTCATCATCCAACGGCCACGATGGAGCGTCCTAACCAATAAAGTTTATGCAGAACCTCAACGGTCAAAAAACTCAAAAACCTTGACAAAAAATCCCTCTACTCTATATACAGATTCCTCATTTCCATAATTCCTAAAATCATCAAATTTGTTCGCAAGAAATCTCCAGAAAATTTTGAAAAAAATAGCAAGATTCACACAATCAATTTCTCGCTTTGATTCGAAATTCTTGAAACCCATTACAGAAAAAGAAGAAAAAATTGAAAGAAAAAAAAAATGAGTGTGATTCAAGTTTCAGAAGCCATGGATCCTTCATCCGAGCTCCAGATATGGAACAACGCCGCCTTTGACAACAGCGGCGGAATCTCCGAGGATCTGAGTGCGAGCAGGCAGTCTTGGGGCTCGTTGAAGTCGATTTTCGGTAACCCTAAGGCTTCTTTCGATTCCGTTTCCGATAAAGAGAATCTGTGTGTCGGGCCGGAAAATGATCGGATTCCTTCTCTGTTAACATCTTCCCTGAAATCCTCAAGCACCCCCTTTAAGCCCGTCAACTCAGACAACCGGGCCGTGGAAGAAAAAAAATCAAGAACCGGGGGTTTTCTGAAAGAGGGCCCGGGCGAAAAGATTGTTGATTTGGATGGAATTAGGGATGAGAAGAAGATAGATGATGAAATTGGGGAAATCGAGTCCCAAATATCGAAACTTAAGTCCAAGTTGGAGGCCCTGAGGCTCGAAAAGGCTGAGGCGAACCAGAAAGCTGTCGAGAATAGAATCCGAGCCGTGCCTGCAAAGTTTATGAACCTGAAAAAGGCTGAGGGGACTACTGATAAGAGAAGGGGGATCAGTCTAGGGCCTGTGGAAATCATATCGGGGGCCCGTAGGGGGGCCAGCGTTGGGCCTGCAGAGATTTTCCGGGCCGCGAGGTCGAGGCAGATGCTGGGGAGGCCCGAAATGGCCACTCCAGTTCAGAGCCGGAGAAAATCGTGCTACTGGAAGTTGGAGGGCATAGATGAAGAGAAAGAGAAGGCGGGCATGGGCAAGGCGTTCTCGAGTGTGAGCCCAAATTCGAGAAAAGTCGGGCTGAAATCTGAAATCAAGAACTCGAGGCGGGCCGAGACAACAATTTCGTCGAGAAAGGCTTTGAAGAAGGATGACTCGGTTCTGAACTCAGTCCAGCCTAAGAAACTGTTTAGGGAAGGCGGGGAAAAGGTGGATCCCACAGCTGGCAAGAAGCTGTCGAGGCCTGGGAGGATTGTGGCTAGTCGGTACAACAATCTAAACTCCGGTCAGACAGCCTCAGTGAGAAAGAAGTCCTTGCCGGAAAATGATGACAGTTTTAGCCAGAAATTCGATAGTAAACAGGCTGTGTCAGTGGGGAAAGCCCGGGTGAATGTGGATGGGGGAAAGACATCAGGGCCCGAAAGCAGCAGCCGGGTGAAAAAGCGTTGGGAAATCCCGAGTGAGATTGTTGTTCACAGTAGTGTGGAGACTGAGAAGAAGAAGTCTCCTCCACAGTCTATTGTTTTGCTGCCTAAGATCAAGATTGCTCGGTGCATGAAGGAAAGCCCGAGGGACTCGGGCCCGGCTAAAAAGGTTGTCGAGCTGATTGGGAGGAAATCGTTTTTCTCGAATGACTATGAGGAGGAGGTGGACCCGCCCGTTTGTCAGACCTTGACCTACGATGAGGAAGAAGAAGTTGAGGAATTTTCATACCCAGGATTCTGATGGGATGTTCGGTCGGCGTGTAAGGCCTTGTTTTGATCTATTTTTATATTCTTGATGTTGATGAGATGATGGGATTGATTACAAAGGAAGCATTATGGTTTTATAGTACATAAGTTTGAGAGTTATGGTCTTTTGTATCTAGTGATGCATAGAAATAAGTGGATTAAACACTGCACATGAACTGTGTTGTGTTCTTTGAGTTTTTGGGATGGGCCAAGCATACTTGTGCTGCCCTGCTTGCTATATTTGCTGTTTTTTGTTGTTTTGGTATTGTGTAATAATGCAAGTGGAAAAAATTCAGGGTCTTTTGGATTTTTCTGTTGAATTTTGTTGTTAATTGGGGAAGCAAGTTATGTTTTTTTTTTTTTTT